TTGTCGGGGGCAGTGGGGCTGGGGGAAACGGGATCATCAGATCCTGGATCCTGGGGCCAGCAGAGCAATCCTTGGGTTCAGGGATGAAGCAGTGACTGAGAGAGGCAGCCGGTGGAAGGAAGATGGTTTCAGAAACCCCACCAGAAGCTTTATGAGTGCACACTCAGCCCGCAGCCCCACTCAGGGCACAAGGGCAGCCTGTGCTCCCCTGCCATGAACACTGCCCTTTTGGAAGACGTGCTACCCTTCCAGGTGCTCATTTCTCCTCTTTGTCAGGATGCAAATGCCTCCTGGGCTCAGGCGAGCCTTCGACCTCAGCCTGCCAAGTAGATGGGACTATAGGCACACATGACTACCACACCGAGCTAATTAAAAAAAAATTTTTTTTTTGTAGAGAAGAGGTCTCATTGTGTTACCCAGGCTGGTCTTAAATTCCTGGGCTAAAGCAATCCTCCCACCTCAACTTCCCAAAGTGCTGGGATTACAGGCATGAGTTATTTTATTTTATGATTTTATTATTATTTTTTATTTTGTAGAGGCAGGGTCTCACAGTGTCGTCCAGGCCAAAGTGTAGTGGTGCAATCATAGCTCACTGCCTCTACCTCCTGGGCTCAAATGATCCTCCCACCTCAGCCTCCTGATGTATCATGAGGATCCCTCACCACCTGGGCACCTTCCAGACTCAGGGTTCTGTGTGGGACCCCCTCTCAGGAGAACTGAGGCCACAGCACCAGGGTAGGGTCAGTAAGGCCTGATGAAAAGGAAGCACTATGCTTCTTTCCAGTCTGCTCATGATACTTCTAGCCGTCCAATGTGTGGGCTTTGTTTCCACACCACACGATTTTCCAGTTCTCAGTGGACATCGACTGGGTGTCCTACAATGCAACTCAATTCCAACATTGTATGTTTGGAATTAGCATACACCCTACAAGGTGTGCACACACCCCTCTGTCTCACAAGACCACCTCCGCTTCAGACACCATTCGCAGGCCCAGGTTATCACCTTGTGCTTCTGGTCAACCAGATATAAAGCCAAGGTTCCTGCCACCCCTTTCTCAGGTTTGAAGATTTGCTAGAACAGCTCACAGAACTCAGGAAGACAGGTTACCCGTGTATTATAAAAGGATATAACTCAAGAACAGTCAGATGGAGAAATGCCCGGGGCAAGGTGTAGGGAAGGGGCACAGAAACTCCACACCCCCTCCTGCACCCTGCCCTTCAGGAACCTCCAGAGTCACCAACCTGGAAGCTCCTCCCATCCTGTCCTTTCAGGGTTTTTATGGAGGTTTCCTCACATAGGTGTGATTGATGACATCATCAGTCGGTGGTCAAGTCCATCTCTACTCCCTCTCCCCTCCCCAGAGGTGGGGAGGAGGGGTGGGTCTGAAAGTCCCAAGCCACCAATCATGTGACTGATTCCCCTAGCAACCAACACCCATTCTGAGGTTATCTAGAAGCCCCCAGCATACCATCCCCACAAAAAACACCTACCATTTCAGAGATTCCCAGGGTTTTAGAAGAAAAAACAGAGACCAAATATATAATTCTCTTTTTTGTTTTTCTTTTCTTTTCTTTTTTTTTTTGGAGTCAGGGGTCTCGCTCTGTTGCCCAGGCTGGGGTGTAATGGCACAATTACGGCTCACTACGGTCTCAATCTCCTGGGCTCAGGCGATCCTTCTGCCTCAGCTTTCCCGAGTAGCTGGGTCCACAGGAGCACTCCACCATGCCCAGTTAATTTTTAAAAAATTGTTTGTAGAGACGAGGTCTTGCTATATTGCCCAGGATGGTCTCAAATTCCTGGGCTCAAGCAATCCTCCTGCTTTAGCCTCTCAAAGTGCTGGGATTACAGGTGTGAGCCACTGCATCCAGCCCCAAATATACACTTCTTAATATGTCACACCTGGGCTCAGAAGCTTTGCTCTGCTGTTACTAGGTATAAGACTTCAGACAAGGTACTTTGTCTTGCTGAGTTTGGTTTCCTGCTGTAAGATTTCAAGATGACACGTATTCTGTATACTGCCACTAGCAGTTGACATAAAGTAGGCTGATGACAAATATAAGCCCACTTCCCCTCCCCACCCCCTCCAGCCCAGAGCAGTCTTGCATATCCTGCAGTCACCTTGGTGGGGAGCAAGGCTTCTTGGTGCTGCTGGGGCTCACACCTGGTGTCCAGGGAGGCAGAGGTGGTGAGTGTGGATTCTGGAGCCTGCAGCCTTCCACTTGGGAAAGGGATGACTATGACCAAGATAGTTGACCTCACCCCACCTCAGCTTCCTCATCTGAAAAACAGGGCATTACATGTGCCCACCTCACGCAGTTAATGGGCTAAGGTATGATGGCTGATGCACAGATACCAAGTAACCTTCAGCTAATACTGTGATCAACACCACTGCAATCACCCCGGACCTGACTTAGTGGGTCATGCATGTGCCTGTGGGAGGGATGGTGTCTGTCTGCACCCTGAAGCTCAGTCTTTTCTTGTCATTCTTCCTAAGGACAAGCCGCTGGTCTCTGAGGTGAAAGGGAGAGACCTTTACTATTAGCATAGCCGCAGCAAGCAGTGAGTAAGTTTTGGTAGAGCCAAGAGGGTGTGGGTCTGTGGAGGAGAGGCAGGTATCAGGTAGAAATGCCGAATTCCTCCCTCCCCCAACTCTTTCCTTATCCCTGTGCTGGGTAGAGGGCCATCTGGGGCACACCTTCTGCTCTCAAAGAGTTCGTGGCCTAGAGTGAGCTTCATCTGGAGAAGGATGTGCGTCCTTTGGGATTTGGGAGGCTGGTGAAGAATCTCTGGGGAGGTTCATGCAGCCTTAAACCACAGGTTCCATGGAGCCTTTCTTTTTTCTTAAACAAGACAGAGAGTAAACTTCCGTCAAATCCCAACTGACTGGGATGCACAGAAGGTCATGAGCAAGGTTTGCAGGAAACGGGGGTAGAAACTCAGGCCATTGTGCTAGAGAGACTTGGCATCTCGCAACCCAGCTATATGCAGCCATTAGGGCTCAGCATCTGCCAAAGGGTCTAAGATCCAACCTGTCTCTACCGGAGATTTATGCACAGAAATGCTCATCTTTCCCCCACCTCCTTCTGTCCATCCTCCCTTTTTTCTTCTTTTCATTCAACAAGTTTTTGGTGGCTGTGGGCATGTTTTAGTTTCCCTGAATTTGTGCAAAACATATTAATTTATTATTTCAATAAATACGTGTTAAATGAATGAGAAGATGTGTGAATGAATGAATTTTTAGTATCCTGAACTGGTGGCAAGCTCACCTCCTGAGCCCCTCTCTCCAGAAGCACATTTGGCCCACCACCCCCAGAGAGCATGTATTTTACTTGAGAGAGCTCCTATGGTGACCCTCTGCTCAGTCTCCAACACTGCTTGAGTGGGAGCCCCTGCGCCCCCACCGGACTCACCTTTCTCTCTTCTCCATGCAGAGACCCTGCTCTAGCCAAATAACATCACATCTCCTCCTGTGCCTTCAGAGTCTGTCTTCCCATTGACTAGGATGCAGGTTGCTCCACTGAAGCCTGATGAAAGTCTTTCTCCTTTCATGGCCCAGCATTTTCTTTCTATCTATTTATGTATTCATTTATTTACTTTTGAGTCGAGCCTCACTCTGTTGCCCAATCTGTAGTGCAACAGCACAATCATGGTTTACTGCAGCCTTGAACTACTTGGTTCAAGTGATTCTCCCACCTCAGGCGCCCGAGTAGCTGGAACTACAGGCATGCGCCACCATGTCCAGCTTATTTTTTTTTTTTTTTATTTTCATAGAGATAAGATCTCACTATGTTTCTCAGGCTGGTCTTGAATTCCTGGACTCAAGCAATTCTCTCACCTCAGACTCCCAAAGTGCTAGAATCACAGACAGATGTGAGCCACCACACCCGACCCAAGGCCCAGCATTTTCAACAAAGCTTTTTCTGATTCCTGCAACTGAAAGTGATTTTTTTTTCTTGCCTGCATCTCTCATGTACCTTTCCTTGGAGAGGCTATGTTTACCTATTGCATCATTCATTATCACTCTGCTTATCTTATCCACTGCTGAAGCTCTTTGAGAATTACAAAGACATTTCATACTTTTTTTTTGAGTTGGAGTCTCATTCTTGTCACCCAGGCTGGAGTGCAGTGGCACGCTCCCGGCCACCGCAGCCTCGACCTGCTGGGCTTAGGTGATCCTTCCACCCTAGCCTTCCTGGAACTACAGGCAAGCACCACCATGCTCAACTTATTTTTTGATTTATTGTAGAGAAAAGGTCTCACCAAGTTGCCCAGGCTGGTCTCAAACACCCGGGCTCAGGCAATCCTCTTGCTGCGGCCTCCCAAAGTGCTGGGATTACTGTGCCTCATACATTTTTACACCCCCAACATGTGCCTCACATAGTGTCCTGTGAGTAACAGGTGCTCTAATATGATTATGGAAAGAATGTCCCATATTCACCTTTCCTCGTGGACTAGATTTTGAGCTGTAGTCGGGATGGTCATCTCATGACATTAGTCTTTTACTTGTTTATTTATTCCTTCATTCATTTATTTATCACATTATCCTAATACAGTCAAGCAATGTGCTGAACTTCAGATTATAGACTTCAAGAGGGCACGTGCTGATGGAGAAAGATGGACACATATAAAACAGACTTGTGCCGCAATGGGATATGCCATCACTCTCTCAACGTAGCTATGTCTTCACTCATAACAACAGAGACCAGTTTGCAGAGGAACGGGTGACATAACGTCTCAAACTTAACTTGAAGGAAGATTTCCCAAAGGGAAAGGGTTTATACACACTCAACTCTCCACACATAATGGCATCTCTCATAAACCCTCTCAGGTTGGCTCTGTCACCTCCATAATCATGAAGAAGTGAGGGAGGGTGAACTCTGAGACTTCTGTCCTCAAGGTCTTATCCAGGGATTTCATGGCCTTTGACTGGCTCCTATATACAGCTCTTGCCAGTGAGCATTTGCAAATCCCCCCAGGTCAGGGATTTCTCACTTTCCAGTGTGGCAGCTCAGCTTCGCAGCTAGCCTTCTCAGCATCTGAGGCCGTGGCCAATGCCAAGGCCTTATATGTACAGAGAAGGTACAAGATACAGAAGTCAATGTTTCTGGATGTGAGAGAGGTAAAAGGCACTTGGTGCCCGGGGAGTCACAGGGGACAAGAAAGAAGCCAAGCCAGGGTGGTGTGTGTGAGAGAAGTATTCTCCCTCCCAGTTCTGTTGGAGACCCCATCCACAAAGCCGAGAGCTGAGTGATGACAGTTCATCTTGTGGAGGAGAAAGGACACTCTCAGCAGTGGTAACAGTATGTGGAGAGGTTCAGCAGCATGAAAGGGCAGAGCAGTTTCTGTGAGCTTGCATCCCAGGAGTTGGGTATCTGAGTCTGGAAAGACTGACTGGGAGTAAGTTGTGATGTTCTTTCTGTGTGGGATCAAGGTCTTTGGACTTTGATGTGATTCTTCCTAGGCATTTGGCTCTGCCCTGACTAGCCTCACCCTAAGGTAACAAGGAGACAAGCCTGCCCCTTTGGCAACTTACACTCTTCTCCACACAACCATCCTCTGCCTCCCAGGACTTCAAGCTCTCCTTTCTGTCTCATAGCTTTAGAAGTCCAGAGTGTCAACTGGCAGATGAGCACCAACCGGTGGGCGCATCACACAGACAAGTTCTCCAGCCAGAAGTCCATCCTTCGGAGAGGCCAGTCCTTCCAGTTCTCAATAAACTTCAACAGAAGTCTTGACACTAGAGAGTTCTTGAAGTTTGCGGTATCCACAGGTACCTGCTCACTCCCCTCCACCAACACACACGTATGCCTGAGTGGCCCTTGGGGCTGTGCGTTCAAGGGGTGATGGTTACCACATTGGAATCTCTGGGCATTGGGCTGTAGCTTGGCTCTGCCATTGAGCCAGTGTGATCTTGGTCAAGTTGCTCCCCGTCTCTGAGCCTGAGAATCATTGTCTTCAAAGCAAGAGGAATCTGGCATATATGGTCTCTCCTGTTACTTCCAGTGCTATCAGGCGGTGCTTCATTGGATGATGTCCCCCAGAAGAGCTTTATTGGAACCTGATCTCTCCCCACAGTCCTACCAGCACACCTTGGTTTCCTTCATTCTCTGTCTTCTTTGACAGGTCCTTATCCCTCAGAGTCAGCCATGACCAAGGCTGTGTTTCCACTCTCCAATGGCAGTAGTGGCGGCTGGAGTGCGGTACTCGAGGCCAGCAATGGCAATATTCAGACCATCTCCATCTCCAGTCCTGCTAGCGCACCCATAGGACGGTACACAATGGATGCTCAGATCTCCTCCCAAGGCCGTGTCTCCTCTGTGAAACTTGGAGAGTTCATCCTGCTCTTTAATCCCTGGCTGCGAGGTAGGCATCCAACCACCCGTACTCTCAGCCTGATCCAAGCAATGACCGTGGAAAGGAGATGGGGGAAATGATCTTCTCAGGCTCCAGTTTGATTCAGGAAAGTTTGTGGGCTGTGGAAAGAGCACAGAAGCTAGAAGTTAGAAGCTCTGCCACTCAACCAGTTATCTGAGTCTGGGCAGTCATTCTATCTCTGAGCTGTTTCCTCTGGGACTATTGTGGAAATCACTTTCACAAACAGCATAGCATGACTAGTCATCAGGGACAATGCCTAGAGTACAGTTCTGCAGCATGGAGATAGCTTCCTGCCAGAAGGAACAGGAGTCCCACGGGGTCTCATTTTCAGACCCTCAGGTCATCCCAGCCTCTCTTTCCAGTTCACAGTTCCCACAATTAGAGTTGGGAGCTTCACAGCCCAAGGGTCAGGCAGGGACTGAAGGCGGGGATGGTTCCGGTCCCCAGGCCAGTCTAGGAGGGGTAGGAAGAATGATCCCTACAGTCCTCTGTAGGACTCTAGCCCCTGGTGTCTGCTTTTTTATATTGAACAGAGGATAGCGTCTTTATGAGTAACCATGCTGAGAGAGAAGAGTATGTTCAGGAAGATGCCGGCATCATCTATGTGGGAAGCACAAATCGAATTAGCATGATTGGCTGGAACTTTGGACAGGTAAAGTTTCATAAAGTGGTTGAGAGTAATGTCTTTATTGCCCAAGAAACTCACAGTTTGCCCCACAGATCGGTGGATGGTCCCACATCTCTCCATTTGTCTGCCCTTCTATGTATTCACATGTTCAGAAGACATGTATTGACCACCTACAGTGTGCCAGGCCTTGGGATACACACGAAGCAGGAGTTGAATAAGACAGATCTGTCTTTGAGGGGTTCACAATCGAGTAGACAAGACAAACACACGTGATTCAATTGGTGCAACGAAGCAGTATTGGTGCCATGATACACAAATAGATATAAAGGCCATTAGAGACATCAGAAACAGTAATGTAGCTTTTGTTCTTCTGCTATTCATTCCATGTGAACATGCAATGAAACCTCCTTGGTTTGACTTGGCCTTGTGATACCGTATCCTCTTGGTCCTTTACTACGGCCATCCCCATCTGAGTCCCCAGAGTTCCCAGGTTTGCTCATCTTAGAAAACTTTCAAGGATGCCCTCCACATTTTGTTTTATCCAGCAGAAAAATGAGTTAGAATAAAGCACCTTAGGCGGGTGCCCTGGGTGTCCAGGAGGACACGTGCTGGGCCCACTGCAGACCCCACCTGTAGTCAACCGGAGCAAGTCTGCTATCACTTTCATATGTTGTGTTTCCGTGTCAAATTTCATTGGAGGGAACTTTTAAAGGGGGAAGGAGAGGTCAAGGGCATAGAGTGCACTTAAGAATAGGAGAAAGGCTATTTTTGATGGCGTGGGAAGGTCTGGGAAGGCCTCTCTCAGGAAGGAGCCTTTGATCAGGAACCCAGAGGAGACAAGGGAGCCAGACAGATATCTTGGGAAAGCATTCCAGGCAGAAGGGAAACCAAATGCAAAGACCTAGGGCAAGAGGAGCTTGGCCTTCTCAGCTTGAGAAGCGGTGATTTAAATTAAATCTTATTTTGCAAAAATAGCTTCAAATATATTTTTTGGCAAGATATTTTAGTTTTATAACCAGTTCTCCAGAAGTCTGAATAATATGCTCAAGATCATAGGCAGATCTATAAGGAAACTGTGTGAGATAAGCTTGGCTTCATTCCTCATACAGATAGAGAAACTGAGGCCAGAGTAGCTAAGTGACTTTCTCTGAGTCTGTGGCAGTGAGGAGTTCAGTAGACCAGGCTCCCTCCTGCTCACTTCAGGAAGGTCAACGCAAGGTCTGTGTGTAGTGAGGGCTCTGGATGAGTTTCAGGATTGAAGGCTGGGTGTGGTGGCTGTCCTCAGTCGCTTTCAGTTCTGGAGGCCACAGAGTGAAAGGACCCGATAGCTCCTCTGGTTCTTATTCGTGTGGTTCCCAGGCCCTTAATGAGCTGATGCTGCTTGTCATTTCTTTCATTGTAACCTATGGTTCCATTTTAACAGTTTGAAGAAGATATTCTGAACATTTGCCTCTCAATCCTGGATAAAAGTCTGAATTTCCGCCGTGATCCCTCTACAGATGTGGCCCGCAGAAACGACCCCAAATATGTTGGCCGGGTACTAAGTGCCATGGTGAGTAACAGGAAAACAATAATTACTAGCTGTCACCATATATTGAACACCAGCTGTGCATTAGGTGCGCACACTTTTTACATGTGTCATCTCATTGAAGCCTCACCTGATACAGCTCGTGCCCAGAATCAGCCACATTTTGCCAGTCTGGAGTGTGAGGCTCCTCTAAGTTACAGGGCTTGCCTGTGACACACGGTGTTGCAGAGGCAGAACTGGACCCAGGGCTGGCTGGCTTCAAAGCCCTTTCTACCGGATAGTGAGACCTTTCTCAGAGGAGAAGGGAACTTGCCCTTGGGTGCCCCCAGGGACGGGCGAATGCAAAGCTAGGACTGTGTGCTGTATCACTGGACCGCCTGGGAAGCAAGGCCCCCTGGTGAGCCGGAAGTGGTGAGCTCCTTTGCTTTAATCCATCCCCTCCACGGTCTAGAGCCCTTGAATGTCATGTGGGACATTCACGTCAGCTGCCCCATTCATGATCTAGATGGGGAGAAAAGCTCAGGGCCACACAGCCTGTGAGTCAAACTGAAACAAGACCTCGAGGGCCTACCCATGACCTCTTATCACCCACCCATCCCATCCATGTGAGAGACCTGTCCCCTGCAACACACACACACACACACACACACACAGACAGGCACATTCAATGCACTCAGTGTGTCAAGAGTGCCACCATCTGAAAGTATCCAAATCTAGGATCGGCCTGCTCAAAAGTGACACATTAAAAAGTTAAAAGTCACATTGAGGTATTTTACTTTAACCCTCTTTAAACTAAATAATGACTTGGAGATGTCTTACTCTTTCGTTTTGTTGTGTTGCTGGTGTTCATGGCTTAGGCATTTCTCCGTCTCTTTTGAGTTGGAGAACGTCCATACTAACAAGCTAGTTGCTTGGTTAGAAATTTGAACAACCTCTCAGCTTCATGATACATATCTAGGGCTCATCAGGGAGGGCTTTTGAAAGAGCTGAGTCTTACACTGAGCATCGCAGGAAAGGAGAGGGAGAACTTGAAGGCCCGGAGAGAGGGGCGAGGAACAGGTCAGCCAAGGAGCCAAGAGGAATTGGGCCTGGAGCTGAATCTCGAGACCCCAGGCCTGGAAGAGGTGGCCCTAAAGCTGAGGGGACTTGGAAGCTGAGCCTCCTTGCCCAGGAGAGAGTGGGTGAGGCCAGCCAGCTCCTGCAGCTGCTGACTCACTCTCCCCTCCAGCCAAACCACTTTATCTTGGAGCCAGTTTCCTCAGCTGCTCCTCCCTGATGCTCCCTCCAGACCTCCCAGCTGGGCTGGGCTGGGAGCTAATTATGGCCTGTACAGGGCTTTGAAATGCTCAGCTTTCAGCCGGAGATGACCCTGCTGATTACCACCTTGATGGCTAGAGCATGGGTGACTCAGGAGATGGGGAGGGGCTGTACAACCTTCCATCTCAGAGGGGCCCATCTTGTCTGATCCTGTGGTGACAGTCCTGGTCCTCCTGGAAGCCCAGGGCCCACACCAGTCCTGGTGCAGAACTCGCTACCAGATGAGGGGCCGGCAAGGCTGAGCTCAGCCTATCCTGGGCAAGGGTCCTCCTGTTTCCAGACTGTCCATTCTCACAGGACTTGCCACTTACAGACGCTCCTAAGAGAGGCAGTGGGGCTCACAGGCTGGGGGAGCCCTCGGAGAGCCTGGTCCAGCTGCTCATTTTACAGCTGGGATAAATCACAGTCAAGGTTTTATACACTATGAACCTCGACTGCTGGAAGACACCTTGGAGCACCTTTGTTCTAACTTTCCCTGCATTGGAAGGTGAAGAACTAAGGTCCAGAGAGGTGGATTGACTTGCGTGCTATCACCAAGCTGCTAAGCAGCGGTGGGGTTGGTGACCTCGTTTGTCCCTTCTCTTTCTCTTTTAAATTTTTATGATGGGAAAGTTCAGACCTGCACGAAAGCGGTTGGGTACTCCTATGTGCCCATCACCAGCTTCAGCAACTACCCACTCAGGCCAGTGTCACCACCTCTCTGACCCCTCCTCCACAGATGATTTGATAAATCTTAGAAGACATTACTTCATTTGACATTATTTCACCTGTAAATTTTCCAGTGTGCGTCCCTAAAAGGCAATGGAACTCAGGTCTCTGGATTCCTAGTCTTTCGTTCTTTTAAGATTGCATCATATTTCTTATGCTAGAACCATGCCTTAAGTTGAATGAATGAACGAATGAATGAACAAGTGAACGAATGAACAGACAAATGAATGGATGAAAGGAAACCAATATTCCATCTTTATTCTTTCCAGAGAGAAGTTAGTTGCTAAAGTTCTAAGGTGATCTTTGTAGAAGACCTGTAGACCAAAAAAGGGTTTCAAACCATGTACCCCCCCAAGCAGACAGACATCATGGTAGCTATGAGCTCTGTCTTTTCAGAAGTTCTCTATAAGCTGGATCCCTGATCCCAGCTTGCCTTGGACAAGCTATACAGTTGGTTTCCCATGTCAGCCTGCAGCATGGGATTGACGTACTCTGAATGTAGAGGGTCCAATGGATAAAAGTTGAAACTATTGCTTTTCCAGTAAGAAACAGAAATGTATTTCATTTCAGGCAACCCATATAACTTATGAACTTTCTCAGAGCAGGAAAAACAACCCATCTCATGATCAATCTCATGCAGCATGGGCTGGCCTCACCCATTCTCTCCAGTCAGACATGGCCTGGTTGACAAAGCACCTCTCAACTCATAAATCACTCAATTTCCCTGAGGGATAATTATTATAATCTTCATCCCCAGGACACCTAGAAAGACAAAGACATTTGTTCAATCATGGCCCTTGACTTCCTTCCTCTCCCCGCCTTGTCCTCGGAATTCTGCTGGTAGCTGTCAGTGGGAAGGGCAGAGTGCTGACTCATCTGGGATTTTTCTGCCCAGATCAATAGCAATGATGACAACGGTGTGCTAGCTGGGAATTGGAGCGGTAATTACAGTGGAGGCCGGGACCCGAGGAACTGGAACGGCAGTGTGGAGATCCTGAAGGATTGGAAGAAGTCTGGCTTCAGGCCAGTCCGATACGGCCAGTGCTGGGTCTTTGCTGGGACCCTCAACACAGGTACCTTGTGTGTGATGCGCCTTGGCTGGGTCAGTGGACAGCAGCGGGTATGCCAAGGTCCCGTCTCCACCACGAGCCAAGTCCTCACACCAACCTTGACTTACAGCACTGCGATCTGTGGGGATCCCTTCCCGGGTGATCACCAACTTCAGTTCAGCCCACGACACAGACCGAAACCTCAGCGTGGATGTGTACTATGACTTCATGGGAAACCCTCTGGACAAGGGCAGTGACAGCGTGTGGTAAGTGTCGGATCTTTTCCCTGAACCTCGAGCACTGAGTCTGAGCAGTTTCTTGCTGTCACCATTCATTCCCTCGGGACCTAGCTTCAAACAGGAGTTGCAAGGCGAATAACATGTTGGTACACGGTTTAGAACAGAAATGCTGACAGTGCTGATGACACGCCCAACAAGACCCAGGACATCTCTTCCTAGTACTCTGCAAAGTCTGATCACCTGTTCTGTCCTGCTGCCATTGGGTGAAGGGTCTGATACTGGTGAAACACAGGATTCCTGAACTCTGGGAAGCCACTCTGAATGTATAGGGTCCAGTGGATAAAAGCTGAAACTATAGCTTTTCCAGTAAAAAACAGAAATGTATTTTCTTTCAGGCAACACATATGACCTATGGACTTTCTCTGAGCAGGAAAAACAACACGTCTCTTAACATACATATACGTGTTACATATCTGAGCTGACAGAGTGAAAAGTCCAAAGCTTATCCTGTATTCCAGATGAAAACAACAAGTTTTATATGTATTTGGGCATTTATATTTCTAACTACAAATATACCATGGGCCCATTATCAATATGCACATACTCTTACATGTGATTTAATGGCAGATGCCACTGTAAATAGGTTATATAAAATGTATAGACATATATTTATAAGTATATCGAGCAGTGTATACATATGTGTGTATATAAATAAATAGATATGTATAGTATAGATATAAAAATAGATATTGTTGTTACTACTTAAGGTTATACCATATGTCAAGTTATTATCAGATGGCAATTGAAAATGATGTCTATATCTGTATATACATATAGATATCTATGTGTCTATATATATGAAGTACCATACATATGTCATTAATCTACTGTTTTAATTCATTCCAAAGGCTACTCACACACATGCGTAATTGAACACACACACACACACACACACACACACACACACGGCTAGATAACCTTATAGCAGATGCTGTCTTTTTAGATGTTCAACTTTGAGATAGTCTATACAAAATATTTTTGTTGATTATTATTCCCAGAATAAGCAAGTCCATTTTTTCTGAAATGTGCTTAATGTAACTATGGAGTAAAATGAAAAGAAAATAGATATTGACAGGAAAAGCTGTCACAACAAATACCAACTCGGTGCCAGCAACTGAGCTGGCTAACACAGGTTTTCCCTCCCTTCTGAAGGAGAGTGAGACTTGTGTCATTCACTCAGGGTCGATGGATTCCAGGGTTTTATTGGAGGAAAGGAAGTTTATTTTAGGATTTTCTTTATCAGTCGACACATACACAACTTTCTCTTTAATGACACTGCTCCTTATGGCAAGGTTTGTTTTCCTGCTTCTCATAAATGGGTGTCTTTTCCCTGGATTTTTCTTGTGCTGTTGTGTCAGAAATCCCATGGCAACCGGTTGTGATCATTGTGTCAATGCCATTCCTAGCCTTAATTTCCTCTACAAAAGAAGGTGATTGGTCAAACAAGTGCAGGGTGGGGGTGGTCCCCTGCACACCAGGATCTGCAGGGATCCAGGAAAGTTTAGGACTATCTCTCTACTAAAAGCATTTATGGGACTGTTAGGGGACAGGGGTTTGGCAAGCCATAAGTAGAGGCTAATTAGCAGCGCGGCATGGTGTGCGATGCGCAGTGAGTGGTTCGGACGGGGAGCACTGTGGGAGCTTGGGGAAGGAATCCTCAAGGAAGGCTTCCTGGAAGCAGGAAAGTAGGACTTTTAAGCTGATTTTGGAATTCAAATCCAGGTCTCTTGGTTATTGATTCACCAGCCTTCCCACATTAACTTAACAATTCTTTCCAAATAGAATTCCCTTCGGGACAAGTATTGGCTTCTGGAGACATTCCAGGATGGCCCCACTGCCATTTCTGTGGCCTTGTGGGAATATGTCAGGTGCAGAAGCTCTGACTGTTCCTGAAAGTTCTGTGGTCCCCACATTCCCCTCTCCTCTTCTGAACCTTCTCAGAGAGCAGAGGGAGCTGGTGGTCAGTCCTACTCCATTCCCTACAGCTGTGGGCGGGGAACCAACCCTGGAGGGTGTGAGGACAGGGAGCGTAGTTCCAAACAGTCCAGCCTGCTACCATTTTGCCATGAGACTTGTGCAAGACACCTCATCCTTCTAGCCCCACGTTTCTTCATCAGTGAACTAGAAAGCTGACCTAGGACTAGATGACCACTTAAGTCTCTTACCAGCTTGAATGTTTAATCTTCTGGAGCTTTAGCCCTCCCCATCTTTTGTCTGAGAGCTAGCTCTCCCGAGGGAACCGCACTTCCACATCAAATCCCAGGTTGGAGAGAGCTAAACCAAGAGTCAGTTTTGGCCTGCAGAAAACTTACTAAGCTATTACTGTAAGGAACAAAAAACCTTTGGTCTGAACCTTCATATGTTATAAGTGTTGGAAGCTTTAGAACCTTGTCCAGAGTTGCCTATGGTAAGAGAACGTGAGGATCAAGCGAGGTCAAGCATCAAAGTGCTTAGTAACAATAACAGCAGCAATTAATAATTTGTTGAGCAATTATTGTGTGCCAGGTACTGTTCTATGTGCTTACATCTATTCTTCACACACAATGAGATAGGCACTCTTATTATTATCCCCATTTTGTAGTTGAGAAACTGAGGTGCAGAGAGATTGAGTACTTTACCCAAGGGCATGCGACTAGAATGTGGTGGGGATGGGATCTGAACTCAGGCAGTTCTGTAAACAATAAAGCATCAGAAGATGCCAGAGAATGATATTATTATTCCTGACAGATGTTTGAGAAATCGGACAGCTCCAACTTTGAGATTTTCCAGGGAGCATGGCTGGACTTCCGCAGAGGCTCTTGTGAGGTTGGATTCTGGCCAGTCCATTCAGGAGGAGAAGCTGGGCCCTGGGGTTCACACGTAGGCGGGAGACGCCACTTCTTTGTAAGACTAAACCTTGTCTTAGGGCCTCAGGGAAGAAAAACGACTTGCCCGAAATCACATTGTGACTCGGTGTCCAAGCTAGGGGTGAATCACAGGTGTTCTTGAACAGGACTCTACCAAGTCAAAGGACATTAGGACCGGAAGGGACCTTGGAGAGGGGCCTGCACATTTTATAGAAGAGGAGGCAAAGGTCTAGGGAAAAGTACTGTCTGGGGACAGGCACACTAATGAGGTTTATAACATTACATGAGTTCCTTAACGCTTCTGTGCCTCAATTCTCACCTGTGCAATGAGGGGCCAGGTCAGGGGACCTCAGCAATTCCTTCCAGCTGTTTTTGTAAACACAGCAACTAGTGAGGTAAATGTTTTTCTAAGCCATTCTACTCATGCCAGTGGTTTGGCTTAGGTGCACGGCTCCAGAGTGTTCGCTGTCTTCAGAATCAGGACACTTGTGAGGGAAGCTTAGTTTGGGATGCTTCTTGACATGGGTCCATTCTGGACTGCTGTGAAGGCGATCTCTGGAGGTTGCCCAATCATGGAGCAGCAGCCAAATGATTTGGCACAGTTTAGTCAAGGTTGTGTTGTCTTTGCTCCCCCCTGCTTGCTGTCTCTCTGTCTCTCGCTTCCTGCCTTCTTTCCTTTTTTTTGAGATAAGGTCTTGCTCTGTCTCCCAGGCTGGAGAGCAGTGGCATGATCATGGCTCACTGTAGGCTTAAACTCCTGGGATCAAGCAATCCTCCCATGTCAGCCTCCAGAGTACCTGGACTACAGGTGTGTGCCCCAATGCCCAGCTATTTTATTTTTATTTTTTGTAGAGACAGGGCCTCGCTATATTGTCCAAGCTGGTCTCAAACTCCTGGCCTTAATTGATCCTCCTGCCTTGGCCTCCCAAAGCACTGAGATAACAGGTGCGAGCCACCTGTCCTGTCTTGTGTCTTGACATTTCTGGCTTGTCTTCTTAATTCATTTGACTTGACCCCCCAATTGTTAGAGTCATAAACTTGACTCCACTTGTAGACTTTGTAGGGCTCTGAAGTAGAAGGCCAGCTTCAGGGAGGCGGAGTTGGAGCAGTGCTTCCAGAGGAGAGCTATCTGCACCCACACCTCTGCCCAGCCCCTGGCTCCTGAGGCAGTCTCTCCATGGCCTTGGCCTCTGAGTATCTGCCTCCACTAGTCCTTAGTCAGCTCCCAGACCCACAGTGAGGAACCCGAGAAGAGTGGTCTCAGCCCAAGGCCAATCAATTCAGCAAATGCAATTCAGTGTATGCTTACACTGGACACTGGGCACCAAGGGGCGTAAGTCACAGAAGCTGTGCTGGAGGAGTTTACGGCCGCATAACGAGACTGGTGATTATGGAGTGGAAGCAAAATGACCGAAGTATGCCGAGATTCAGAGATAACACAGAGGTGTCGTCGGCACACATGTGGCATACCAGGAAAGATTTTTTGGCAATGGTCTCTGAGAAAAATTTGGAAGGACAAACTGGAGTTCACCTACAAAGTGGTGGTGTCTTGGGGCCACTTTCCAGGCGGGGTCTGGAAATTCAAAGGTAAGCATAGCTCAGGTGCTGTCTCTGCAACAGTGGTTTATCAACTTCAAAAACTACATCAGAAATAACGTGGGCCAGGGGAGATGAGTAGGGCAGGAATCTGCGTCTTTAAAGAAACGCCTCAAGTGGTTCTGAGACCTACAACCTTTCCTGTTCCTGAAACCCTCAGGAAAGGAACGGAGCACAACATTGTGGGGTGGGAGAGAGTGTGGCACATAGCCAGAACCTCAAACCGGAATTTCCACAATGGCGCCCGTGGGCATTTGAAAGACGCACATCCCAAACATGTATAACCAAAGTGACTGGCTTCTGTGGGAGGGAGGAGCTGGGATATGTTTGTTTTCTGCTCTGTCTTAAATTCCTGCCTTGCGAATAAGTATTGAAACACAGCTACTTACCAATTTGTTTGTTTGTTTATTTGTTTGTTTAACCAACGCATCTTTCCCCCTTGGGTTCTTTGCCAGGAACAAAATGAATGTGAAACTTGATTTTTCACCACTTTCTCATCCCTCTCTCACCCCTTCCACCTACCTGGGGTCATCTTCCCACCCTTTCCCCCTACCTTTTCCTTTGTGACAATCATGAAGGCCCACGCAGAAAGATGCTTAGTGGGTCCTGGAGATCATTTTTATGATTTCTTTTTTTTTACATTTATAGGACATTTCAAAATATATAAAGAAGTAAAAATCATCCATGATCTTGCTCACATGTTTTTAACGCTTGATAGCTCCCTATTTAATCTTTTCTCTGTTAGTTGCTATTTATAGAACTGGGACTATACATTCTTACAAGGCGTGAGTACAGGACAGAGTATATAAGAGATACATCCTACTTTTTTTTTTTTGAATTGGAGTCTCACTCTGTCGCCCAGACTAAAGTGCGGTGGCCGCTCCCATCCACCGCAGCCTCGACCTGCTGGGCTCCGGCGATCCTTCCGCCTCAGCCTTCCAAGTAGCCGGAACTACAGGCATGCGCTACCACGCCCGGTTGATTTTTTGATTTATTGTAGAGATGAGGTCTCACTGCCCAGGCGGGTCTCGAACCCACGGGCTCAGGCAATCCACTCACCTCAGCCTCCCAAAGGCATGAGATTACAGGCTGAGCCACTGAGCCCGGCTGATACATCCTACTTTTCCCACACCTTGAAACCAACCACTTCACAACCAGTTTTAATCTTGTGTTTTTGTCTAAACATTATATTATGAGCATTTCCCTTATGTCATTAAATAACCTTCAAAAATAAGATCCCTTTAAACGCATCATTTTTCATTATATGGTCAAGCTATTATCTCTTTGCCTAATGTGATCTGTAATATTTATTTCCCTTTTCTAACCCCTTCTGCCTGGATTCAAATCCTATTCTACCTATTTACTTGCTGTGAGACCTTTGACAAGTCACTCAACTTCTCTGTGCCTCAGTTTCCAGAGTTGCTGAATGGGGATAATAATTATTTCTATCTTGCAGGGTGCTGTAAGGATTAAATAAGTTAATATAAGTAAGGCATTTAGAACACTTAACTTTTTACATTTACACAGTGTTAGCTATTATTATTTATATAATATAGATTTAAAAAATATTTATATATTTTCTAATTATAGAAGTAATGAATAATTCTCCTTACAGAAAATGAAAACATTACAGAAACAAATAGAAAATGAAAACATTACAGAAATAAATAATGTAAAACTTAGTTCATATGCACTATATACATAATATATACCCCAAATTGTTAATGTGGCTAATTAGGAAAATAGAATTATTAAAGACTTTCTCCAATTTTTAATCTATAATTTTTATTTTTTTCATTTATTTTTATTTATTTATTTATTTTTTGAGTCCGAGTCTTACTCTGTCACCCAGGCTAGAGTGCAGTAGCATGCTCACAGCCACTGCAGCCTCAACCTACTGGGCTCAGATGATCCTTCCACCTCAGCCTTCCAAGTAGCTGGAACTACAGGCACGCAGTACCACACCCGGCTAATTTTTGGCTTATCGTAAAGATGAGGTCTTGCCAAGTTGCCCAGGCTGGTCTCGAACCAGCAGGCTCAGGCAATCCTCTCACACCTCGGTCTCCCAAAGTGCTGGGATTATAGGCATGAGCCACCGCACCCCGCCTAATCTATAATTTTAAAATTCAAATGAATTTATCATATATGTACATATTCACACACACTGGTTTGTAACTTGATTTTCTTACTTCATGACACATTGTAGCTATCTCTCCATGTAAGTACTAGATTGATTTTGCTTATTCTTTTTGACAGCACTTTGATATTCTATTGCATGGCTGTGCTATAGTTTGCCTAGCATTGGTGAACTTATTGGTGAACTTTCCCCAACATTTTTACAACTACAAACAATGCCAGCCAGGTGCCGTGGCTCATGCTTGTAATCCCAGCACTTTGGGAGGCTGAGGCGGGAGGATCACTTGAACCCAGGAGATGAAGACCAACCTGGGCAATATGACAAGATCTCATCTCTACAAAATATCAGCAACAAAAAAAATTAGCTGGGCATGGTGGCGTGTGCCTGTAGTTCCAGCTACTCAGGAGGCTGAGGAGGGTAGATCTCTTGTTCAAAGTTGTGGTAAGCCATGCCAGCCTGGGAGACAGATACCCTGACTCAAAACAAACAAACAAAACAAAACAAACAAACAAACACAAAAAACAAAGCCACGTGCACATCTTTATATGTACATCTATGTGCACACACATGAGATTTTTCCATAGGAATAACTCCTAGAGGTGGACTTACTGGCTCAGTGGGTATGTAGATTTTTAGAGTTATTTTTATACCCATTGCCAAATTGCTCTCCACAAAGGTCATGCCAATTTAAACTACCACCAGTGAGGTATGACAGGGTTTGTTTTCCCACCTGGAAATGAGTAAAACAGTGAGTATCATCTTATGCTTTAATCTCTGTCGGTCTAATAGGTGTAATCTGGGTGTCTTTACAATGGTATTTCTTGGACATTTTAGTTTTCTTTTAGTAGTTGCGAGGTTAAAGTCATTTTCATATGTCTAGTGATTTGTAAGTATTAATATTAGTATAGCAAATCTCTATCTAGCATATATGTTACACGTATTTTTTTTCTACTTGTTTGATTTTTTTCAGTCACTTTTCTCGCTCATTTTCACATTGGCAAATATCTACTGATCTGTCTTCAGGTTTGTTGGAATTATTTGTTAAATAATTCATTCACTGAATTATTTAATTTCAGATATTGGTCTTTTTTCTAGTTAAACATTTCCATGTGGTTCTTTTTAAATAGTTTTTATTTCTCTGCCAAGAGTTCTTCTCCCTTCACTTCTTGTGAATATGTTTTCTCTTTGTTTCATCGAGCATAGTTCAAGCAGCTGCTTTAAAGTCTTTGTTGACAATTCCAACATCTGACTGATTTCAGGGTTGATCCCTGTTGATTGTCTTCACCCTTGAGGATAGATCACATTTTTTTTGATTCCTCGTACGTTCCATGGACATTGGACATGTCTGGATTTTGTTATTTTACTGGAACTGCCCATCTTGGGTAGACTCAAACTACAAGCTGTCCAGTGCTCTTCTATTTTGTGAGCCGCTTAGTCTACCTAATACATGTGTGGTTTGGGGTCACCCAGAGGTTTAGGAAGAGTTTCCTTGATCTTTCTTTCCAGGCCTGCCCTCATCCTCTAGCAACCCAGGTCTTAGGCTCTGTTCTTGGTTCCTTAGGTCAAAAAGCTGTGGAGTTTTTACTACTCTGCATGACCCCCTCCCCACACCGGGGCCTGTCCTTAGGGCAAAGTCAACAAAATTGTCACTGCTGGAAGCAGGCTGGCTGCTTCCTCCAAGTTTCAACCCCTTCCTTCAAATCATCCTGCTTTGTTCTCTCTCGGGTAGTTGTCTTTTCTATTTTTTCCCCAGAGGTCATCATTCTATGCAAGAGGGCTCATCTGTTATGAGCTTATCCTCAGTGTCATAAATAGAACTACTGGCTTTGTATTTGTTTGTATATAACTTTAATATTTTTTACACAGTCAAATATATTAGTCTTTTCCTCTATGGCTTCTGAAGTGGGTGGTCTGCTTGAAATCATCTTCCATCTCACAAGTTTAAAATAATTGTTTTTCCTGTTGGCTAGAACTTGGATTTATGTTGAACTTGTATTATCTTCAAGTGGAACCGAAAACTGCCAAGGTCAGCATTACTGTGGTTTCCGTGGGAGTAAAGAGGAGGAAAAGGGGGAAGAACTGAGGGATGGAATGAATAAGACTTTGGCTACCTATGTGCCTGTGAGGGGTGAGCAGTGGCTGAGGCTGACAGACTGAGACGTGAGGTAAAGAATGTTTGAGGACTGGTATGTGTCATTCTTTCACCCAGACCCCAGCAAGAGGCTGTGTGTCTCTTAGCCAGGCCTGTCACTGCTGTTACAGCCCCACTCATTATCAGCCCACACCAAACACAGACGTGTACCCCAACAGGGCACAGAGGGAAATCAGTGTGAGTTTGTCTGCTGGTAGCTGAATCCAGCCTAGATTTTTCTGCTCCCCAAAAAAGCAATAGAGCATGCTGGCCAAGGCTTCAGTTTTGGAGCTAAGCATACATGGATCCACATTTTGATTCTGCCATCGTTAGCTGCTTGACTTCTCTGAGGCTCAGTTCCCTTGCATCCCACCCCATGAGATGGGCATAAAAATAGTACCCGTTTCACAGTGGGAAAGTGCCGTGAGGATTTCCATGACACAGTGCTCACCAGGGCTTAGCACGATAACTGTCACAGGGAAAACTCATTCAATGCCTATCCAGGCATTGCACTGTCAGGGCAAAGATGTGGTGTGTTGCCACTCACCTGCTGTGTGGCCTTGGGCACGCTCGGCAGCTTCTGGTTCTGTCTGCAGGAATTTCCACGTCTGGAATGAAGGCTGGTTTGTACGGACAGACCTGGGCCACTCGTTTGGTGGATGGCAGGTGTTGGACGGCACCCCTCAGGAGAGGAGCCAAGGTAACCTTCCCGCCAGCCCTTCTCTGGGCGTGGTTCTAAGCCTCTCAGTTATTCACAGTAGCGGACAGCAACACAGGGGCGTACCTCAAAGGCCCTCTCCATTTGGGGAATTAAAACAAAATTATTCTAAAAATAGACTTCCTCCGCTAAGTTTGTTTGGCTCAGGATGCTGTTGAAATGAGTACCTTCCCAGCACCCATGCTGGTTGCTGCCGCTGCCGCAGACACCTGGCACAGGCTAGGTGACAAGGGACAGACGCTGTTCTGTGCCAATAATGATTTTCACGCACTGCCTCTGGTGGCCCATTCCTCCCAACACAGAAACCTGCAATCCCCTTGGTCCTTGGAGTTAGTCCATACTCACTGCTGCACTCAGGGCCTCCCTGATCACTCCCACAGCAGCCACACCGAGCTCATCCTCCCACAGGCTGCCCCCTCCGTGCCCTCCCAGGCCTGTGCTCCCACCCCATCGCCCCATCCTCTCTCCCCTCTTCACCCACCAAGGTGGGGTCCCAGTCTTGCCAGGAGCCTTTTCTTCTCCCTCTTCTGACCTCCAAAGCATGTTTTTGTCTGTTGCTTTCATTTTGAGTTATTTCTTTCAAACACTAAAAAAAAAAAAAAAAAAAATTAAGTAATATGTCCCCATAGCTGGAAAAAAGAAAATCAAACCATTCCAAAAGGATTTACAACAAAAATGAAGTCTCACCCCACTCTCAACCTCTAGCCCCTCAATGCATGTACTTGATTTGGGGGCTGGGAAGTAATTGTAAACCTCCAGTGTCTTCTAGGACACTATTTTTCAATTTTTTCATTGCAACCTATTAGTGATTATTAAAACAAGATACTAGGTTGTGACCATCATTTTAAGAAATGAAATGAAATGGAAAGGGGGGGAGACATAAAATACTAAGGCTCATTCAATATAGTAAGACTAAGCACTATTGTCCTGTGGAATTTTTGCTTCAGTATCACAAGTGTGCCAAGATGTCAAGTGTATTTCTTTCTAGGGGTCATGGTAAAAAGAAAAAAAAGTTGAAAGTCCCCGAGAAGACCTGTCTATCTACCTGAGCTACCTATATGCTGAGAGCTAAGAGGAGGAAAGCGGTGGTCAGACTTGGGAGCTCAGAAGAAGGACAGAGCCCTGTGGGCCTGTGTTCAGGGAGGTCTTCGCAAACAGGAGAGCTGCGGCCTTTTAGGGGAGAATGCTTTGCAGAGGCAGAAAAGACACAACTGCCTTGCGCATGAAACAGCAAGACTTTTCTCTTTAAGAAACAGACCAAAAAATTAGGTCGACTTGGGCTAGGCACCCATGGAATGCAGGGCTGAGACCGTCTTATATAGAAGTGGCGTTCACTCCGGGTGGCCAATAGGCAAGGAGGGTCTCTGCTGAATGCCATGGGGGTGGAGCAGATGGTCAAGGCCGAAGGAGTTTAGGTGGAGCAGAGGTGGGAGATGGAATGTTCAGGGAAGGCCTCAGAGGGGTGGGCCCTGGGGAGGTGGGCCCAGCCTTGGCACGTATCCAGCCTCTGCACCCTGGCCACCAGGGGTGTTCCAGTGCGGCCCTGCTTCAGTCAATGGTATCCGAGAGGGGGACGTGAACCTGGATTACGACATGCCCTTCATCTTCGCGGAGGTGAACGCCGACCGCATAACCTGGCTGTACGATAGCAACACAGGCAAGCAGAGGCAGAATTCCGTGGACACCCGCTCCATTGGCAGGTACATCAGCACCAAGGCGGTGGGCAGCAACTCCCGCGTGGACGTCACCGAGAAGTACAAGTACCCAGAAGGTAGGAGGGATGCTGACGGGGCGGGGCACATGGGGCCCCATGGTGGGAGAACAGCTCTGAGCATGGAAAGGAGCAAAGGCCTCGCCCTCTCTCCTCCCCTCACCTGCAGCCAGTTCTGCCTGAATGATAGGATTGCTCCCTGGCATCTAACACCCAACTCCCAGGACCGTCTCCAGCGGGAACAAAACCATCACGGGCAGCCGCAATGCCAAGTGCAAGTTTGCTGCAGGGCACAGGAGGCTGTCAGCCCAGCTCATCTCCAGCTGTGTCCCTTTCTCAGTTGCACAAGTGGGGCAACAGCACTGTGACTGAGCATCACAGGGAGAGACACAGCCCTGTGGATGGCCTGCAAGGGCTTTGGGAGAGATTTCTTAGTCAGTCTGTTCCCCTGGCCTCCAGAAATATAGGCAGAAAACACCATCTGAAAAAGAAGCAGACAGAGAAACCCAGAGATGTGGGCTTGTGCTGTGTACACTCAGAGGCCCCCCAAGAAGCCACATGGTGTGTAATGAGGAGAGTGCCCAGGTCCCTGGCGTCTCAGGCATCCATTCCCCTGAAGTCCCTGACCTCCCCTAGTCACCTTGGAAGGCCAGGAGCTATGAGGCTGCCTTGACTCCAGTTACATGTGTGGCCTAGAGGTTGCTTTCGGAACCAACAGTTTGTCTCTTTGAGGATTCTCAATAGTGTCAAAAGTTCTGCATTTGAAGGTGAAGTTCGTTTCTAGAAACAGCCCAAAGTAACTTAGCACTTGTTCTAGCAGACCATGGATACTCCCAAGTGGGGTCAACATCTCACTCTTTCTAAAATGCTTTGAAATCCTTGATTCCATTGATCCTCACAGTCGGTTGTGAGGGGTCGAGAGAAGTACTCTCATAAAGGTGCCCACAGTACACCCTGAAGTGAGCCCTAAACCTCTGAGCAACTGCTGGCTGTTGGTGTTGGCCGGGTTTGCAAAAGCTAAGCATGGGGGAAGGAGTCTGACTCCAAGTCCAGCTGGGTGACCCCTCTGGGAACTGATGCTTGTAGATATTTTGAGGCCCAGCCCTAAGGTAATGAGATTGGTGGCCTCCATTTGCCCCCAGTCTGCCTCTGTGGGCCGTTCCCAGGGTTGAGGTCAGATGGACTTTTGCTCAGTCAATAAACACATTCTGAGACCTTACTAAGTGCTGGCTTCATGCTGGGCTCTGGGGAGGCAACAGAGACTGAAGATGGGGTGGGGGTGGGGGTAGATAGAACAATATTTTGAAACATGTCATGATGCAAAAAAGTGTCAGGGACCAGCAAGCAAAACACCTGGGGCCCAAGGTGAACTTCAGGCCTTCCTCTCTTAACTTGACCACCTCACACGTGCTTCTTGTGATCTCTGACCCCTCTCTCCCCCCCTATAGAGTGAGAACAGCAGTGCTTGTTTTCGGTAGAATTTAAATGAGCCAATGTACACCGCATGCCAAGAGCAATGCCAGGCACACAATGAAGACTTAATAAACAACAGTGGTGACCTTACTGATTTGAACACCTATAGCCTCACTGGAACAATGACCTCCCAAGGCGGCTATTTTACAGGCTCTGCTTATATGGAGTTATGATCCTGTGGGTCTCCTTACCTAACTCTCACACTTTAATCCTGTTTCTTGGGGACTCTGGCTGTCCCAGCCAAACCCCCTAAACAATGGAGAGGAGCCAGCCATGAGATTGGGAGGGGTTCCCTGCAGGACTCCTGGCAGCACCCTAGCCCTGCGTGACAGCAGGACAGATCACCCTGCTTGGTGTTGCCCAGCTCTTCTTTCCTAATGAGTCCAGCTTGTTTCTGAGGGCCCCAGGGAGGAAAAGCTCATAAAACGGGTTGCTAAGTATTGATGCAACAGCAACACCAAAGGGAGAAAACAGCAGCAGGAAGAAGCTCAGTCTTGAGTAAGCCGAGCAGGTGACCTATATAGGTATCGCAGCTCTAAGCCTCATTGAGCAAACATACCTGCTTCAAGGTCGCAGGCACAGAAGGCTGAGGCCCGTGCACAGCCTTCAGCTCTGGGTGTGGACTTACGACTCAACCAGAGGATGGGAAGGCACCAGAAGGAACCCAGCCCACCAGGAGCTAGCAACTTAGGTAATCTGGCAGCCTGCCTCCTTTTTAGTAGGGTGTGAGGGAGGAACCTTAGACCAGGGGTTCAGACACCTGAGGACTGGCTCCCTCTTGGCCTCAGATCTTCAGAGTGGTCTGGACCAGTCGCTTCTCTTAAGGTCTTAATGCTAACATGAGGGACTTGGACAAGTTGGTCTCTGAAGTCTCTTCCAGTTGTTACACGTAACTTGTGGGAATGGGCCTGCGGCATATCAAGTGCTTATCATAAGCCATCTCGTGGCTTAATTTCCAGGTTGGTTGGGGAGGGTGGGGGACCATACGTGTGATTTATAGATGTAAACATAGCCATTCTTCTCTGTGTACCTCTCTGTGTTCCTGGAAGGTCAACACCTCCTTACAGCAGGTCTAACTCAGGTCAAGGCCTTATGCGAACTGCTTAGTCAGCCCAGATGTGGCTTATGGCTGGTTACTCAACTCGCAGTGCCCTGAGAGCCATTTTCGGGCACATCACTGTCATTCTCTATGGACTACTTATGCCATCACACTCAGCAGCACCCATAGGCTGAGTCAGTGTCCAAAACCCATCCTTTTATCCAGCCCTTGCATTTTGAGACCTGAAATCTCTCAACAATTTAACTTAGTCATCACTTGTCACCATACCAGTCATGGAAAGGCCTTGTCGACTGGCACAAAGTGTCACTCCTTGACTCTTGTTTTTCTTTAGTAGAAGAACATGGTCACCTGTTTTGAAAGTGTTTTGAATGAAGTCAGTTCTAAATCATACCCTTATTTTTGGCTTATGAATTCTAGCCATTTTCTGCTCAATTTTTGTGATTTATTTCAAAATTACCTGTTTGTTCTTTCAGTCTCACAAAAGACCTCTTATTAGAAAAAAGAAACCTAACTTAATTAACATAAACAGATGACCAAGCCATATAGTAACTTTGTGCAAGTGCCGGTTAGGCTTTCTCTACAGTCTTCGAAATGTAGAACTGATTGGAAAAGCACTAGAGACCAGCTGGTCTGGGAGTCTCAGGTTAAGGCAGGTGAGAGGGAGACCTGTGGAGGTCGAACACTCACCTGGAGCAGCATCCTGGGGCAGCAGTGAGCCAGCGTTCGTCCCAGGCCACCTTTCCCGGCAGGACACTGTCCTTTGTCCCAGGTTGCCCTGCATCCCTGAGATGCTCCTCTCTTTTCCCACCACACAGGTTCCAGCCAGGAAAGAGAAGTGTTCCAAAAGGCTTTGGGGAAACTGAAACCCAATGCATCATTTGGACCAACATCTTCAGGGCGTTTGGAATTAGAGGAACGGGAGCCCAGCATCTCTGGGAAATTCAAGGTCATGGGCTTGCTGGCAGTGGGCAAAGAAGTCAGCCTGGTCCTGCAGCTCAAAAACCTGACCAGTGATCCGAAGATAGTGACAGTGAACATGACCGCCTGGACCATCGTCTACAATGGCACGCTTGTACACGAGGTGTGGGAGGACTCCGTCACAATGTCCCTGGATCCCGAGGAAGGTAACTCATCCTGTAGTTGGTGGGGCTCCACAGATCCAAGGTGGCTGACAGTCTTCTGGGGCTATGGGGTATCTTCTGGGCTCTAGGTTAGTCAGCCAACTAAAGATAGAGCAGCACATGGCCCCTGTGATTGAGCTGTGGGTCGTGATGCTTTGGCAGTTGCTGTCTCTATGAACAGTGCCAGTCAGAGTGGTGCCGACCCAAATCCTTCTATGCCCTGGGGAAGGAGGGAGGTAGGCTTTGATGGTTCATAGCCAGGAAACAATATCACTGATGGGTGATATACCACCTGTATACCACCTCACGGCTGGCAGAGTATGTCCTTGTATACCACCTCACTTGACCTAAAAAAAAAATGGATTTCAGTATTCATTTTAAAGAGGCAGAAAGGGAGGCTTAGAGAGATTTATGACTTGCTTAAGAAATTAAGTGTGCCAGGCTCAGTGGCTCAGCCTGTAATCACAGCACTTTGGGAGGCCGAGGAGAGTGGATTGCCTAAGCCTGAGGGTTTGAGACCAGCATGGGCAACTTCGCAAGAACTCAACTCTACAATAAATAAAAAAAAAATTAGCTGGACATAGTAGTGTGCACCTGTAGTTCCGGCTACTTGGAAGGCTGAGGTGGAGAAATCGCCAGAGCCCAGCAGGTCGACGCTGGGGTGGCTGTGAGCGTGCCACTGCACTCCAGCCTGGGCGACGGAGTGAGACCCCAACTCAAAAAAAAAAAAAAAGGAAGGAAAGAAAAGAAATTAAGTGTCATAGCTCATAAGTGGCAGTGCCTGGTCTTAGTCCTAGGTTTCCTGATACTAAACCCAGTGCCCCTCCTATTTTCTATGTTGTGTTGCTGCCACCTATCTCCCCTCAGCCCCGTCCCTCAACAAATCACTTTTCAGGTTGGACCGTGGAAGGGTTGCAGTAACCACAGGGCTGTGAACCCCTGCCACCCAGGACAAGGAGCACTGTTCCCCCACAACTGCTCAGGGCTGGACGGAGTTTCTGAATTCCTGACAACATTGACAAGGATTTCTTAGAAGTCTGAGTACTGGGGAACAGTGACTCCTTGTCCTGGGTGGCAGGGATGAGAAGGGAACAAGGTGGAGCGGATGAAGGCAGGTGCCACAGGATTGGAACGCAGGTGTGCCCACATTGGCAAAATCCTTCAAGCTGTTGTGAAAAGTTGGGACTTACCAAGCAGATTAGCAGGGGTGGGGTGGTTCATATAAGGAACAAATAGAAACTGATTAATTACACAGCCCATCTTGAAGGAATTCTGTCTGTAGAGAAACTGAGAGGTGTCACACCTATCAAAAGGTGGCTTCCTTAGAATCTGTCTTCAGGCAGAATTTTAGCAGAAATCTCTAGATCAGAAGCAAATGCCTAGCTGTTATTGACCTTCAGATCTCAAAGGAAGACATACTTTGGAGATCATAAAATTCACAGAAGGGAAATGGCTAAAAAAATCTTTTTGAGGCCAGGTTCAGTGGCCCAGCCTGTAATCCTAGCACTTTGGGAGGCCAAGATGAGCGGATTGCCTGAGCTCGCAGGTTTGAGACCCACCTGGGCAACTTGATGAGATCTCATCCCTACAACAAATCAAAAATTAGCCGGGCGTGGTAGCGCGCACCTGTAGTTCCAGCTACTCGGAAGGCTGAGGCAGAAGGATCGCCAGAGCCCAACAGGTCGAGACTGCAGTGGCCAGGAACGTGCACTGCACTCCAGTCTGGGTGACAGAGTGAGACTCCAACTCAAAAAAAAAAAATCTTTTTGCAAGAGACAGCAAAGTGACTTGGGACCCGGGAGGAGGCAGGTGCAGTGGTCTTGAAGTCCTGTTGCCACTTGCTGGATGACCCTGGTTAAGTCTCCCTCCCTTTCTGAGCCTCATTGGTCACTGACCAGGAGGGTTAAACCAGCTGTTGCAAGGGACTGTCCTCTCTACATTCAGGGCAGCCATGGCAAATTCCCCCAGTGCTGGAAGCAGAGGCAATGTTCTCCTTACAGTCTTACCTGAAAGAGTCTGTGACACTGTGGGTGCCAGGACACTCCCAGGCCACCCAGCATGACTGCCTGGGCAAGGGTAACCCCAGGAACATCAGGAGAGGGAGAGAGCCCTGTGGCCTGTGGTGTCAGAAGAGGATCCTTGGGGAGGAGCTGTGTACATGGAGAGAAGCTGGAAGAGGGATTTCCATCTGAGGGGACCATGGGCATCAAAGTGCCAGGGTATAAAGGTACCTGTTTTGTCTCATGAGAAATGCAGAAGGTTCTTTTAAGGGAGTGGTGAGTCGGGATCAGGGGGTGCAGGGTCAGGTTGAGGGACCCGAACTTTAGCCCTGAGGCAGCAAGGAGCCATGGACGTTTGTGTGTGTTTTTAAAATTTATTTAATTTTAAAGATGTAGGGTACAATTCAGAAGTAGGTATACAAGTGGTCATCATACAGGTAAAGTTGGGGCCTACATTTGGTCCCCACTTTGCTGTGGTTTTGTTTTTGTTTTTGTTTTTTTTTGAGTCTGAGTCTCACTGTCACCCATGGCTCACCACAGCCTTGACATTCTAGGCTCAGGTGATGCTCCTGAGTAGCTGGGACTACGGGCACATGCCACCGTGCCTGGATAATTTTTTCTTTTTAATTTTTGTAGAGATGAAGTCTCACTACATTGCCCAGGTTAGCCTCAAATTAAATTCCTGGGCTCCATCAGCTGTCTCACCTCAGCCTCCCAAAGTTCTGGGATTACAGGTGTGAGCCACCATGGCTGACTTCATGGAAGATCTTTGAAGTGACATGGAAGAGGAGAGACATGACTTAGAAAAAGAAAAAAAAAAAACAAACACGAACGCTTCATCTGACTGGTGTGTGAATTTAGAAGCAGGAGAGACCATGGTAGAAAGGCAGTTCTGGAAGCTGCTGTAATAGAACCCCAGGTCATAAGATTACTAGGAGGGCCCTAAGCATGTATTTCCCCAGCACCCAGCTTCCCTTCCCACCTGTTACTGTGTTATTATTGTGATTGTCATTGTCATGAGGCAGTCAGGTACAGTCAGGTAGCGTTTGCATTCTTCCCCTACCTTAGACACTTGCCCTCCAACACCTCCCAAGGTGGGGAAGAAGCCTCAGCAACTTCAGCCCCGGCAAGCCTATCTTTCTGCAAGTCTGCCCACCCAGAGCCCTGGTCCCTCCCTGGGCTCTCCCTGGAGCCCACCCTGCCCAGGGGGAAGCTTCCTATGGGGCCTGGCCCGGGAGGGCTCAGTTAAGCCCTGGGCTATAGATCTCCTGCTAGCTTGCCCTGGCTTGGCTTGGCGTCCGTTCTGAAGAAGCTGTCCCTACTCCCTCTCACCCTATTCCCCTGGCTTGTCCTTGCAGAAGCAGAGTATCCCGTGAAGATCTCATATGCTCAGTATGAGAAGTACCTGAAGGCGGACAACATGATCCGGATCACAGCTGTGTGCAAGGTCCCTGAAGAAGCAGAGGTGGTGGTGGAGCGGGACGTCATTCTGGACAACCCCACCCTGACTCTGGAGGTAACAGGATGGGAAGGGATGCCTCCCCCAGCCAGCCCAGCTGCCAACAGCCCCACCCGCTCCCCGTTCCCGTGAGCCTCAGCGCTCCCAGACCACAAGGGAAAGTCTATTCCTGCTGGGAAGGGCAGAGAACTGGGCCTGGCTCGGGTCGGGCCTTTGCCAGAGGGTCCAGCTGAGAACTCCCACTCAGGTCACTGTTCTTGCTTCCTGCCTGGTGAGATAAGCACATGTGCCTGGCAGCTTCTCAGATTCTAGTTCTAGATCCACTGGGGGTATCAGCCGAGGAGGGGACTGGAAGAACTCTGTTCAGTTTGTTCGCTCCCTCAGCAGCTGAGCATCTGCTGTGTTCTGGGTAGTTCCAGGCTCAGGAGTCGCAGAGAGGCACAGGGGTGGATTCTGCCCGTGGCAAATTAAGCTGTCCTTCTAGGGCCTCAGCCCAGGTGCCTGTTTGTGGACTAGACCAGAAGCAGGCATGACTCACATGCATCCCTCAAGGCTCTGGACCCTGGACTCACAGAATCCTAGACCCTGAGGAGCCTAGAGTTGTGATCCTGTGTCCTGCTATTTTATACATGTGTACACCGAGGCACAGAGGAAAGGGAGCAACCAGTTACGGCCAGAGCCAGGGTTATACCTTAAAGGACCCTGGGACTTCCAGCCTGCCTTTCCCAAGATGTCCCTAGCCAGCCACAGCATCTTCAGATTGTTGAGGACAAGGACTCTGCTTTCTCTGCTTTGGGGTTTACTTTCGTTTGCTTCTCAGGAGCCCAGGCATTGGGGCTCACAGGTCTATGTGAGGCCCCTAGTGCTACTCTATCCCTTCCTCAGCGCCAAGCAGGAGCACCTGTGCTGACTTCAAGCCTGTTCCTTACCCTCTAGCCCTTAGCCTATTCCTTACCTTCTACCCTCTAGCCCGATTCCCCCAGCCCAGGGTAGAGGGCACCAGAACCAGGCAGCACAGATCTGAGGGGTAAGAGGCCAGACGAAGACTGGCAGATGGATGGGCAGAGAAGATGAGGTCTTTCTTCCCTAGGAGTCCAACCAATAGCCTCATGAGTCAGGTCCTCCCTCATCTGCTGTATCTACCATCTGCCCCAGTGGTCAAGACAGTAATTGTTTTTCCTGTCCAGTCCCAATGCCACTAGCTTCCCAAGTCCCAGATTACTAGAGGAGTCATGGATGCCCCGGCCTCACCCCCTCCCTAAACTGCACCCTAGCTGCAGGGATTCCCAACTTCAGACAGAGGGCAGCAGGGGGATACAGGGAGCCATCTCTGATGAGCGGTCTGGTCCTCCCAGGGAGCTAGCCTTTGCTTGTACCTTTTCACTATCATGGTTAGTGTGGACTATGCTTCAGGATGAGGGGTCAGTTCTCCACCTTAGGGAGCCAGTGACTGGACAGCCAGTTTGCGGGCAGCAGAGAGAAGCAGTAGTTCAGACCTTGGGCGGTGTCACCAAATGGGCCTGGCGCTGTATCTGGGCCACTTCATTTATCAGTGGTGACACTGAGCAGGTCCCTTAATCTGAGTCTCAGTTGCTGTAACTCTGTCATCAAGATAACAAAATACTTCCCTTGGAGGGTGTCATTTCCTGACCTCCCAAATTCGTCCTGGGCCTAGTTATCCTCAGAGCCGCCTGTCCTCTTCCTTCCTGGCATTTGTCCCAGCTGAAATCATATCTTTCTTTGTGCAATTATTTGATTGCACACCCCACCCCAACTGTAAACTCCACAAGGGCAGGTGATACCTCTGTTCTAATTTCACCACTGTCTCCCTTGGCACAAGATCTTAGTAGATAATCAGTATTTGTACAAGAGAGACAGCCTCCTTCTTGGGGCAGGATTGGGACAGAGTCCCTGGGCTCTGGGCTTGCAGTCTTCCCTTCACTGTCAACCATGCTTGTCCCCAGCCTGTGAAACCTCTCCTGCTTCCCAAGGCCTTCCTAAGAAGCTTTCCCCATCTCTGTGCACAGACGAGTGCCTACTCCAACTCCTGAGCTGGGAAACAAGGCTGGGTGGCGGCCAGTTCAGTGATGAAATTTTTTGCCTTAAAATGATCCATGTTTAAACAAAGGTGGTTTTTTCCCCATTATATTCCTTTAGCCAATATCCTCCAACCTTCTTGCAGTGGTATCTTTCATTCAACACTTTGACTCTGCATCTTGTGGATTTCCATAGCGAGTCTCCTTTCTCTTTAAAGACACTGTAATATCTTTAGAAAGGAAATCAGAATATATTCAAGCTAGCCATGTGCCACCATGAACTCTCTGATGTAATCTTTTCAAAAGACTCCCAATCTTCCCTTTTTTTAGGCACATTCTTTTTTCCGCTTACGCCCTCAGAGAATCAAGGCATCCTTGTCTTGATTGAATGGATCAGTACACAGCTCACTCAGAGCAGGGCACAGATTTTTAAACTCGTGAAAATGATCTGTATGAAAAGATGATAATTTGGGTAAGACCCCATTATTTCACATAGCACCAATTGGCAATTAGCACTGAGGACCTGAGACCATGGAATCAGACCACCAGAAAACCGGAGCATTGTTCCTTCAAATTGGACCGTGGCCTGTGGCAATCCAAGGCAGGTTTTTTGGTGGCCCTCAGTATCCCCCCTGGGTGCACTTACAGATCTGGGTCAATAGATGGTGAGCAGCACCCAAGAAAGAAAAACAAATCCAAGGAAATCTCAAATGTCAGTGTGAAAAATATGGCACCATTTATGTAGCTTTGTTATATTCCAATAGCATAAAATTCGGCTTCAATCTCAAATGATGCCATGCACTTAAATGAGTCCATGGGAGAAATGATAGTCCAGGTCATGGTCTCTACGTTGCTTCAATTATTCACAAATTATCGGTAGGTATCGCAGGGCCTGTCAGAAAGAGCAAAGGCTTTGGAACCAGCTGAGCTCTGCTCCTTCCCAATGTGTGAATTTTCCAGGTTATTGAATTAGTCTGAACTTCAGCCTTGTCACCGAAAAATGGTTGCTCTGAGGATTAGTGACAAGAGAAACAAAACCCAGACCAACAACAACAACAAAAAAAAAAACCCAGCAACCTCTCCAGTGATCCTTGAAAGAAGACAGAAAGAAATCCACCAGTCATATAATTTCAGTGTCTATCTCCAAAATGCTTTCCCCCACCCATGATCTCATCTGATCCCTGCTGAGAGGGAATGGATGACGGTCTCTCCTTCTCAGAGGAGGAAGTTCAGACCCTGAGAGATGACTTGTCTGTTCAGAGTCATGGCTGCTTCTTGTACAACAGCTTGTATCTTTTGGTCTGAATAAATAGTCCAGGATGCTCTTCTGACCCCAAACCCAGTCTTCACCTTCTCTGACCCCTGAATAAGGACAGTGCGTGCTGGAGTCCCTCCCAGACCACAGCATGGTACACAGGGATTGTCGGGGCTCCGGAAGTTTAGAAGGACATCGGTAGACTGGGGTGTAGAAAGAGGTGGCCCTACTGAGCTGGGCGGACCCAAGACCTGTGACGAAGAGCAGAAGGGGCTGCACTGTGAGCCTGGGTATGGCAGCCTCAGGGGCCAGTGGCTGCCCTATTCCACTCCGGTGGGGCCTCCCAAAGAGGCACGTTCAGGCTCTAAGGGAAGAATTAAGACCCACGAGCAGGAAGTCCAAGGAAAGTGGTGGTGTCAGATTCCGCATGAAAAGTATCCTAACTCTCCCAAATGGAAGCAGGGGATAAACTGAAGTCGGGTCAGCCTCTGCAGCGTGCCCCTCCTCCCCCTCCACAGCTTGGTAAGGACAGTAGTGTCCCAGGAATCCCTGCGTGGATATGTGGGGGGGCCATCTGGTCGGTGCGCCTGGTACTCAGGAGGGCTTTGTACATGGCTCTCTCTTCCTTTGTCCTCAGCGACGGCTTCCCCATCACCACGTAATGCTACCCCACCCTCCCCAAGGGGCGGGCAGGCACAGAGCAGCCTGGGTCCTGACCCGGCCGTCCCTCTTCTCCACAGGTGCTGGACCAGGCTCGTGTGCGGAAGCCTGTGAACGTGCAGATGCTCTTCTCAAACCCCCTGGATGAGCCGGTCAAGGACTGCGTGCTGATGGTGGAGGGCAGTGGCTTGCTGCTGGGCAACCTGAAGATCAAGTGAGTCCCCAGCCTGCGTGCCAGCATGGGGCTGGCGAGAGGGGCGGAGGGTGCCCACCAGAGCCCCTGGGCAGGCAGACAGCAGTCTCTCTGGTCTTGGGTTCTTTACTCTTTGGGGGGATCTGGAAACGTAAGAATCTACACTTGCATTTGGTTTAGGGGTTACCCAAACTCGAACTCCTGGGAAGACCAGGTCATCTGAGCTAAAAGCTGGCCTGGGGGATTATAATATTTGGGAGATGATGGAACCTCCTCCCTGGTCCCCTGTTGAGGTGTCCCAGGACTAAGGGGCCAGTGACCCAGGAGGCAGCTAGAGGAAGCTGAAGAGGTGACCAGCCACCACCAGCACAGGTCCTGAGGCCACAGAAGGCCTGTCCAGCACAAGGTCTTTGTGTCTCGCATCAACACTGATTCGTGCCCTTCCCCTCAGCGTGCCAACCCTGCGCCCCAAGGAGCGGTCCCGCATCCGCTTTGAGATCATGCCCACCCGGAGTGGCACCAAGCAGCTGCTTGCCGACTTCTCCTGCGACAGGTTCCCTGCGATCAAGGCCATGCTGTCCATCGATGTGGCCGAGTGAAAGGCCCTGGCAGCCCCGATACAAACTTGGGTAACACGGAGCAGGAAGGGCTTACCTGTGGAGTGAGACCACTGCCCATGCTGTCCAGCCTGGGCTACCCACTCCACCCCCAAGGCTACCGGACATGGACCTCCAGTCTCCAGCACATGCCCCCTTCCCCCTCCCTCTAGGTTGGACCGTACCTTGGTCCCTTTTGCACGTTCCCTAGCCACGTCCCACCAGAGTTGCCTGCTCTGTGAGCCCGAGGCCCTGCTCATCCCTCACGCCCTTCAGTGCTGCAGGACAGGCTAGCCCCTGACCCAGGGATGCTCTGAGGGGATACGGGGAGAGGGTGGTCTGAACTGTTTGCTGATACCCAACCTGCAGTTGGGGCATTCCTGCTCCTCCCTCAGGCCACCTCAGAGGACAGTCACTTGCTGCAGCATCCACACCCCTAACACTCAAAATAAACGTTAAACAAGCCAGTCACACAGCACTGACTCTACCAGACTGCTGTTTCCCTGGACGTGGTAAAGGGGGCTGGGGCCATGCCCTGCTGGATCGGAGAGGCCTTGTTCTCTGTGTTCCCATGTCCAAAGGAACTGGCTTGGCCTGCCTGGCTCTCAGGCAAAAATAGGGAGATGTTTCAAGCCAATTTAGCAAGACTTTCTAATGTGATGTCCAAAAACAGAGAAGGCTGCCACAGAGGGCTTCAAACATTCTCTGTGTGGCCAGGCAAACTCTTTTAGACCTTTTCTACATGGGTCAGAGTGAGAAGGGACTTCACAGTGCTTGCTGGAACCCCTCTGGCAGAGCAGGCTCCGGGGGTGGCCTGGCCCCTCTCTTGCAGACAGGATCCAATGTGCCCTCCAGCTGGCCACAGTGCAGTTAACTCTGCTGGAACCTTCTCTTCCTTCATACACATGCTGATGGCTCCACAGCCTTTGTCCCTTAAAATAACCCCAAGCGGAACCCATTAGCTGTGCTGTCACTTGTGCTGACTAATCCCACTTTGACAACTCTACCTCATGTTCTGAATTTGAGAGACCATCTAGTCTCAACAGAAACCTTTGCCTCACATCTAGCATAAAGCTTCTCCCATGTGCTCAGCTCAGACTGTACCCAGGTCGCAAGGAAGGTGCTGTCCATGTCCCATCTGCCTTCCCTTCCGCCCCTCCTGTTGCTTGACGCTTCAGAGTCAGAGCAGGGAGTGAGAGAGAAGGAAAGTGACAATCATTGGTTCCCTGGTACTGATGCAACATGGCCAACAATGCTCTCTGTGGCCCCGGCTTTGAGATGCGGCATTTCTATACTGCTTGTTGCCTGATCCGGGCAGCGTGGTCCTTGGCTTCAGGTCTCAGAGGTCCAACCCACTGCTTCTAATTGCCTTGGAAGGAGTGGCACTTTCATGGTGATTTGAGCCGGTTCCCTTTCATGGAGTCCACTGGCCACAGAAGCTCACAGCTCCTTGCCCCACCAAAGAGTGGGCTTTAGTTGTCAATCTTACAAAGTCCCACCCTTCCGCATTCGAGGAGATTATGCAGTTCAGTATAAGTTAGTCACTACCTCTTGAGAATGCTTGCTGTGTGCCAGGCCCTGCCTGAGCCAAGTGCTTTCTATGCAGTATTCTCATGTAATCCTCCCAACACACCTATGGGATAGACGCTAACATCTCCCATGTTACCCTTGAGGAAGCTAAGGCTCGGAAATGTTAAGTAATTTGTGTAAGACCACAGAGCCATAGAGTGGAGAAATTGGCATTTAAACCCTTCTATCTACCTTCAGAGCCAAAGCCACTGTGCTAATGTGTCAGTTTCGGTGATCTACAGTCATAATTGAACCCTGGTTTTATCTAGGGTCCAAAGGCAATGTGACCAGCCTCAGAAGATAAATTCTGGTTGGTCTAAGCCCATTATAACAATCCTCTTCCCTTTTGCCAGTGATGGCTTTGGAAGTGAACATGTGAGTTGGCCTGGCCAATGGGATGTTAGGGAAATTTGATGACAGGCTTTTGGGAAAGGTTTTCCTTTCTGATTAAAAACAAAAAACAAAATTTGGTAAAGAGAAGCCCTGCCCTTTTCTTCTTTCAATAGGGTCCTGAAAGGATGATGTTCAGAGTTGTGATGGCCATTCTGTAAGCATGAAAAGACAAAAAGAATAGGAAAAATGATTCGAAATTCTGACATTGATGAGACATTGAATTAATCAACCCTAAAACTACCAACCTCCAGACTCACTATTTTTTTTGTTAGCGTCTCACTCCATCGCCCAGGCTGGAGTGTAGTGGCACACTCACAGCCACACCAGTGTCAACCAGTTGGGCTCTGGCGATCCACCCCACCCTTCCAAGTAGCTGGAACTACAGGCACGCGCTACCACACCCGTCTAATTTTTGATTTATCATAGAGACGAGGTCTTGCCAAGTTGCCCGGGCTGGTCTTGAACCTGCAGGCTCAGGCAATCCACTCGCCTCGGCCTCCCAAAGTGCTGGAATAACAGGCTGAGCCACTGAGCCCAGCCACAGACTCACTATTAAGTGAGACAATAGACATTCTTATTGTTTAAGTCACACTTAGTTGTGTATATTGTACATAAAGCTTCCTGATTTAGTTGTACTTCATAATTGAGAATCTTCTATGTGCTGAGCACTGTGCCAGCAACCAGGCAAAGTGGATGAAGAAATCACAGTCCCTATGATCAAGGAGCACATCATTCAGAGAAGGTGCAGGCCCGTTGCTGCACTGGCCACCTGTCTCCATTCACAGCATGGCCCCATCACTTCCGAGCTTATGAACCTGGTCATACTATTTAACCTCTCTTCCCTTGGTTTTCCTATATTGTAAAATAAAGGTAATCATGGAATCTATCTCATGAAGATTTAATATGCCTGGGGCATATAGAGGCTCAATTAATGTCATCTGCAGCAGAGTGTTTGCAAAGATGGCCAGTCATTTCTCCCATCCCTATAAACACAGCCCTGTGACTGAAGGCTAGCCATTCCTTCCCACCAGGAGGCAGAGTCTCCTAGGCCTGGAATCAGCGTGAGCCCTTTGACTTGCTTTGGCCAGTAGTACACAGTAAAAGTGAGCTGTGAATTCCGAAGGCTCAAGAGGTCTTATGTGCTTCTGTCCTCAGTGTCTTGGAGTACTGGCCTGAGACTGCCATGTGAAGAAGCCTGGTGTGTTCTTGTGTTGCCATGAACAGCTGTCACTCATTTGTCCCTCATAAATAACGTATTCAGTTGCAAGGAGTGCAATTGGCTAACCCCTTCCAGTTGTTAGCACCTGCAGGTTCCACCTCCTATCCTCTTTTGAGGCTAGGCCAGCACCTTTTGGGTAGCCCCCAGGCAATTCCTGAGCCAGTGGGAAACCAGGGCCTGGTGATTTCTGTCCAACACTGGGTCCCTCTAGTGGGCAATATTTGCTCTGCAGCTCCCTGTTGGGTTGGCTCAAACATTGTCAGACCCACATTGCAGTCTAGGGTTCTCTTTTGCCCAATCCTACTTTCTCCCCCTCTTATCTCTTAAAGGCATTATCCCTCAATAAACCTCTTTAACTCCTAACAACGTCTCAGAGTCTGTTTCCTGGAAAATGCAATTGACAATTGATATTAGGAGTGGTATAATAAAGCAATCAGGCCAGGCATGGTTGTACACACCTGTAGTCCTAGCTACTTGGGAGGCTGAGGCGAGAGAATCACTTGAGCCCAGGAGTTTGAAGCTGCAGTGAGCTATGATTGCACCACTGCACTCCAGCCTGGGCAACAGAGCAAGATCTCATCTCTAAAACAAAAAACTTTAAATACCAATCAGTAAGTTAGGGGTTTGGGATTAAATCATTAAATCACTCACTACCCAGCTGCCAATTAGAACTCCATTTTCATCCCAGATCATTCCAGGCAATATGGAATGGGTATATCTCAGTTGCCCTCAAAGATTTGGGGTCTCAGATTCCTCTGGACCCTTGGAGTCTATAAAGATGGCTGACCTCCTCCCTTTTAAGATCTAGTAATTGCCCCCTTGTCCCCACCCTCTGTGGGAAGACAAAGACTGATAAATCATGTTAAGTTGCAGCACAGCTCAGCTGGAGATGTGTCATATCTGATAAGGGAATAAAGAGTTGGAGTCCCAAGGAGTTGGAAAACTAGCCATCACTGACAACAGGATCAGGGAGTACTCTGGGAGTGAATTTGAGGGCACTTAATCAAGGGAGCTGAAACATTAGCCTAAACAATGAAGACTTTATTGACTTGGGGCCATTCTTTTGTTGACACAGAATTTAACACTCTGGTGAGCACCCTGGAGCTGGTTCTGACTTGTGGATTAGTGGCTCCAAACATCTGCAAAAAGTGATGGTTTATGCTGAGCACAGTTGAAATGGCTGAATTGTCACGGGGCATGGTAGAGGAAGGAATTAAAAGGCTCAGGGAGTGCAGGCGCGGTGGCTCACACCTGTAATCCCAGCATTTTGGGAGGTGGGGGTGAGAGGATTGCCTGTGCTCAGGGGTTTGAGACCAGCCTGAGCAGCATGACTAATCAAAAAATTAGTCAGGATTGGTGGGGGAGCGGGTAGCACGTGCCTGTAGTTCAGGCTACTTGGAAAGCTGAGATGGAAGGATCGCCTGAACCCAGCAGGTCGATGCTGGGGTGGCCGTGAGCGTGCCCCTGCACTCCAGCCTGGGCAACGGAGTGAGACTCCAACTAAAAAAAAAAAACCAAAAAAGAAGAAATTAAAATAAGCAGAAGAAAAGAAATGCCAAAGAACATAAATCAATAAAATAGAAAAACAAAATAGTAAATTAATGAAACTAAAAGTTTGAGAAGACGAATAGCATTGAAAAATTTCCAGCCCAACTGATCAGAAAAAAATTAAAAGATACAAATTACTAATATCAGGAATAAGAGACCTTACTTTGAAGACTAATAAAGGAATATCATGAACAAATTTATAATGAGTAAATAAATTTGACAACTTAGACGAAATGGGCAAATCCCTTAAAAGACACAAACTATCAACGCTCATTCAAGAAGAAATAGATGGGCAGAATATCCCCATATCTATTAAAGAAACTGAATTAGGAGTGAAGATTAGCAGAAAACTGTTCATCTGACCCTAACTCAAATTGTCAGCCACACAATTGGCTTTTTTGGTGTTATGCTTCCATATGGTTTGTTATACAGCAAACGGCATTATTTAT